CACATACAGGAGCATCTTACACCACAAAATTGTTTTGGAATTTTTAGAACTTCTTTCTATATAAAATTGCTGTACTGTTCAGGCCCGGGCTCATCTGAGCCCGGGAGCCAAATCGCTGCTCTCCATATCGATAGACTCAGTGCTCTACCTTCTGACATATATAAGAATGTGTGGAGTGTACTACTTATGGATGTAAAAAGGAAGTTTTCCTGATACATCCATGTAATGGTGGATCGATCGTATGCTTAATAAAGGTAAAAATATTTGTCTGGTTTTCCGCTCATAGGTTGGTCAACTTTTTCTGGTGCCTTGGATCTTTATCCAATTGGCAGGTAGTATCTTTTAATCATCATTATTGAACATATATATGTTAGTTTGCCTGAATATACTTGCACAATACGTACTAAGTAGCCGTTTCTATTCAACTATAATGTTTCACTAACTTGTTAAGCAACTGATACAGCTGACCCTGAGATCCGAGATCTATTTTTTGTACTCATCAACACAATAATCTTTGGTGACCAAGAATGAAATTTGGAATCAGACCTTTTTTTGGCATTACAACATATGACATGGAAGGACGGCCTTTTCATCCTCCACCAGTCGCCTACAGTATTTTATTTGTCATCAACCATTTCTATGTTTAATTCTCATTTATTGTGAAATGATTTATTTGAGCACTTTAGCGAGCTACTCTTTGTTTTTGCATTCAGTGACAATGGGTAGGTGCAACCTTCGGAGAAAAGTGTGTCAAGGCAGCAATTATAGTTGGTAACATGAGCTGCCCCAGTCGCATGGCAGTGTTCTGGCCAAGATGGTACGGCACATAGTTGCTCGCCCAAATGAAGGGAATGTTGATCTGGTAACAATCCTCCTTATCTGATCTTTTGTTATAACTGGCCAACTGAGTTTAGTACTCCCTCCTTACCAAATATAAGATGTTTTTGCAGTTCAAATTGAACTACAAAAACATCTTATATTTTGATACATAGGTAGTAGCTTCCATAGAAAATGCATACATGATGTCCAAGGATGCTACTTGGCATTTCCGTCTAGAGGCTCACATGTTTCTTGATATCTTCTCATGTTCGACATCTGCTTAGCACCTCCGTTTAGAGGCACCGCGCGATTGTTATTTGGTCAATACAGTCATTTTATGACTCTGGCATGATCGTATTGGACCAGGGATTGTTTACTGTACAATAATAATTGTACATAGCTTCTGTCAAATAATCGACCATTCAGTTTGATGCTGATGAATCTGAATCACAACTTCTGTTGAATTCTGGTGGTTAGAGATACAGCAAGAATTTCGATTTGGCAGGTCCCTCACGGAGACACTGGATGAGTTCGCCTTCAGCATCCTCCTACAGTTTGACAAGGTAGGGCTGACATTTGCGTCTATGAATCAATCAATTGGCCTTTTTAATAATTGTGTTTTCAAAATGGGCTTCTTGTTTCTTTTAGTCCATGAGTGCCACGCCTACAGCCCCAGGTCAAGAGCAATGCCTTTTTCAAGGTGCCAACCAAAATGACACCTCTCCACACATTTACCACTGTATTGTACAGGTACCAATGGAATAATGCTAAAATACCTCGATGTTGCTACCTGTTTGTTAGTGTAATTGTACTGAGCAGATTAGCTACTAATCTTCCTTGTCTTCTGTTTGATGCCATGACGACTTGTATGCTTAATTATTAAGTAAATTATTCTGTGGCGCATGTTATTTTGCAAGTCGCCATACGCAATTGTTCTTTTGGGACATGCACAGGGTCGTTTTCATTTCTCATTAAAGAGAATTGATTTGGATATGATCATTTTTCATGCTAATTTCATTTCTCATTAAATTATATAGAGCTTCTACTAGGGATGATACCAATATGAATATGTTTTACCATGTTTAGTTTTATTAGACTTAATGGCGTATATAGTTGGGCGCATTGTGTTTGATTAAAATACTCAATGGCATTAGTCGCTTCTTTTCCACTTATGTTGAGCTATCCCTTGAGAAGAATAAAATCAAGAGAAATATCGCACTTCATGAATGATGCTTTCCTATGAATCTCACACATAATTTTAGATCATTCCAATATTTTACGATAGGGGTAATATTGTCTTCCCATTATTTTGGAACTTATCTACTCTCCCTATCAGAATTGAAATGAGCTCACCTAAGTGGTCTTCAAGTATGAAGACAATCTTGTATGCTTTTTTAGTTTGGTCGTGCATGAGCAGTACTAATTACTATTTGCATATTTGTGTATACAAGAATGAAGAATCAGTACATGTATGTCCTGATATTCAGTCTGCATGGTAATTGGCCTTGTCAATAAGCTGGTTACACAAATCTATGTTAATAATTGAATGGTTTGCTTATTTTTTTTGAGTTAGTCCACTTTCTGAAATCCTCCTCTAGATATTTATTTTTGTTCTTTTGACTAGAGATCAGAAGGAAGACCTATTCTGCATTCACCAGAGGAGGAGGCTAACTGATCTCTTACATGCTTTTTTTTAATTCAAAAACTTGTGAGCATCAACCCATGTTTTTTTAACTTGAGAGAATACAAAAATATGGTAGACCAAGATTAAAAACTAATATTAGCTTATTGCAATTTGGAGCTGATGGGAATTCCATATCATTATGTGCTTGTAAATGCTATGAAATATAGATGGAAAGCATAATTGAGAACGTTATAGTTTGCTTTCCAGTGTTAGAAGAAAATAAGTGCCTAAATTCATAGTTGTAGCCTGAAATGTTATAGAATATCTGTAGTTATTAGTAAATGTAGTAAATCAAACTGATCTTTTTCCTTTTTTTCAACTTTCCTCTTAATGGCCTTGTGAAATTTGTGGGGTGGTGATTTCTAAACACTTGTGATATTATCTTCCTTTTTGCACGCATTAATTGTTCTTTGGTAGTTGTCTTTGTTACTCATGTTTAAAATTTCTTAAATGCATTGTCTGAAATGTCATATCGAGTAGTTTGACAGAACAAACCGACAAAACGTACTATGTTCCACAGCTAATTTATAAAGGGTTAATTTGATAAATGCCACTCCAATTATGGCGATTCTGAGAAATGCCACCGCAATTTCCAAACTTTGAAAAATGCCATTTCCATGAAAGGCAGAGCTGTTTCCATAGGTGGATTTTTCAAAGTTTGGAAATTGTGGTGGCATTTCTCAGAATCGCCATAATTGAAGTGGCATTTATCTAATTAACCCTATAATAACCCATTTAGAAATGTTATTTGATGTACATGTCATTCTTAGCTCTCCATGGTTTGCTTTGTTGTCCTGTTTCCATAGGTGGATTTACATAGAGCCATATAACCATTCCATTCTTCTACTATTCATGCTAGCAGCGAGAGTTGTTCTAGCAACACAACTACTAACCTTTATTTGTTGCAAGCACGGAATAGCCTTCTCCCAATAATGTTTTACATGCATCGGTGATGTCTAATTCAAATTGTATGTTTGTAGAGAACCAAGTGCCCTGACCTACGCTATAAAGAGAGCATGTGAAAACAAAGCTAACAAAGCTGAAGTTGTTGCTCAGGATGAGAAGGAAAGTGATCTTCGAGCAACACTAGACCTGGACCTAGAACCACTGGCTCACTTAGAACACGAGTTAGTCGATTGTTGTGATAAGAGTAAGGGTTGAGAGTGAGCGGGGAGAAGGTTAGAGTTTGTTTGTTCAGTTACAGTTCTGAGCAGAATAATTTTTCTATTTTAGAAAATGTGGCAAATTGCATTTTATCAGAGATGGCTTTGCTGTAAATTGCATGATCGAGAGGTTTTTATATATTTTTCATTAAGTCGTACAATTTTTTTCTTTGGATAGAAAGGTAAAAATGCATAGGTAGGTTGATTCAAGAGTTAATAATGGACATCATGGTGTATCAGTTGCATGGACATCATACTTTTATTTTGTGGTAATGCATGACATTCAACTATATGTTACAACATGACAATGACTCGGAAGACATCGGATATGCCTTCTTGGCTTGGAGGGTGTCACGGGCGGCGCACGCCTCCTTGCCTAATAACGGTGGCCGGGGACTCCACCTTGGCGGTCCGTGGTGGAAGTACAGTGTGAAGAATAGAGGGTGCCATGATGAAGGTGAGCCGGGTGTCATCTGGTTCGGACTTCCACATTTCTCATCCACATGTGGGCTGGATTTAGAGGAGCTCGGACCATCTAGATGCTTGGATTTTGGGGAGCCTGCTAGGCACCCATTTGATGTCTGAACATGCTCGAACGTATGAGAGACAAATGTACTTCGGACTTGGAGGGGACATTAATTATTTGTTTTATGTGTCATTGTTAGAGTAATGTAATGTTAAAGTATGTATACAATGACACATATGTGCATGGAGCTTGTAAAAATTATATATTAGACACGATTGGTGTTAAACCGTTAAAATATGTGTGCTCCCGCAGCGACGCACGGGCAATATAACTAGATCATGTGTAAAAGTTAGTTAAGTTGAGCCTAAATTAAATTGAGTCGTGGAAGAGGAAGAGGGTGTGTGTGTGTGAGAGAGAGAGAGAGAGAGATCATGGGTGGGAGAGAGAAGGGGAGGAAGAGATATGGAGGGTGGTATATAGTGTGGGGAAAGCGAGAGGGATATGCATTTGTATTTATTGGTGCAATAAAACAAATTAAAAGACCCGTGGCAACGCATGGGCATTCTGCTATTTTTACGAATGTGTGAGTGTGCTGGTTCAGCCTTGTTTTGATGTGCTCAGAAAAAAAAAATAGAAAGGTTTTGAGGGCCATCGCGCAATTAGAAAGGCGTGTTTGAGTAGAGCTATCTGCCTACGGCCCATCCACATAATAAAATGAGGGCCATAGAAAAGGCCCATGTTAACCCAATAAAATCAGGCCCACACGAGAAAATCAACGGAAGACCCGTCAAAAAAATCAAGAGAAGAAACAGAAGGCAATCTCACAATTTTCTTCGGAGAGAGAAGAAAAAAACACAGCCGCTGCGCCATGGCGGGAGAGGAGCAGCCCCTGACGGAGTACGAGAAGCAGCGACTGGCGCGGATACGGGAGAACGAGGCCCGCCTCCAGGCCCTCGGCATCCGCCGCCTAGCGGCGTCCCCCATCCTCAACCAGCCGTCCTCCGCGGCGGCGGCGGCGGCCACCAAGAGAAAACAGAAGAAACGATCCGACGATGCGGACGACGAGTACCTCCCGTCGGACGGGGGTGGCGGCGAGGAAGAGGAGGAGGAGGAGGACAGCTCGTCGGCCGGTGACCAAGACTCCGAGGAGGAGTTCAAGGCTTCCTCTAGGTCTAACCAAAAGGTGCCCCCATTTTCCGGCGGAACAAATCGACTAATCCAGGCCCTTGAATCTTGTGTGTATCATCATCGCTGTTAGCATGAATTAGTTGGCACAATTGCTTTGGTGATAGTGTATCAAGCACTTTTTTCATCAGTTGTAATGCAATTAGGGTTAGTGGGCTTGTTCATGGCATCCTTACAGGTTAAATTGCTAGGTCACGGTTTTAGCAATATCTAAGCAGCAACACAAGGTTGATAGATTTCACTGCACGATGGGTTGGAGATCTCCCAAAGAAATGGAATGTGAAATTCCATGTTAATACAGTATAACTGTCTGCTCTTTTATATTAGTACCAATGCATAGTTTTCTTTTCTCTGCTTTCTTTTCAGGGAAAGGCAAAGAAGAAAATGAACTTGGGAAGCTCTTCTAAAAGTACCGTTAGAGAAGAAGGTGCTCCGTTCACCGATTTTATGGATGACGATGCAGCCTTACAACAGGTAATACATACATCGCAAATGTAGGCGCCAAAAACGGATGTGATCCTTGAATGCTTATTGAACTCCTGATCCTTTTTTTCCACTTATGATTCTTCGCCATATGCAGGCGATTGCGCTCTCCCTGGCAGAACCTTCAAAAAGTTCCGTGACAACAACAACAGACCCTTTAGAAAGTTCCGTGACGACAACAACAGTTGCAGAAACTTCGAGCAGAGGAGCCAAAGGACGAAAAAGCACACCGTGCAAAGATGACAATACCACACCTGTTAAGGATTCCTCTAAAAATAGGAAGGCAAAGAAGCAGGTATGTTCCTTCCAGAATGACATTACAGTATTAGCTTTACATCCCAATCTTACTTGTGTTTTGCATAATTGTGCTTCCATTGCTTGCTTTCAGGTTAGGAGCAGAATTCAACTGTCGGAAGATGATGTGGTGGCAATATTCTTCTCATTTGATGGTATTTTATCTGACTTGGAAGTCCTTTTATGACATTTAAAACCTGAGTTCCCTAGAAAATTGATTTTGTGTTGCATCTATACATAGGCGTTTTGTTCTGATGCCCTTGTGATTTGCGTATTGGTTAAAGTTACGTATGGTGTGATCCTGCGATGCTTACCAGGGGAATAAAGATTAATTCTTAAACAGTATTCAACAAGCCAAGCTGATTTGTCCACACTGAAGTATCTTCAGTTGGGTATTCCCCTATAGACAAATGGGTTTAGTTATGTTCATAGCAGAAGCACAAAATTTTGATTGGCATAGTTTCTCTTTTCTTGCCACTGTACTATAATGTTTCATCTAAATATTTTACTTTTATGGACTGTGAATTGGTTACTGCTTTGGTGTACAGAAGCTGGAAAAGGATACATTGCACCCTGGGATCTTGAAAAAATGGCCAATATAAATGATTTCATCTGGACAGATTTTGAGCTATCTAAGATGATCCGTTGCTTTGATAGTGACAAAGATGGAAAGGTTTGTCCTTTGTTCTTGGATAAAAATGTTGCATATCTACTTTAAATGATGCATTGTTTAGAATCCAGTTTTCTGATTTGGGAAACTATAAGTAGTCTGATTTATGTGCACTCATGGAACCACATGCAAATCAATTAACACTGGGTCACTGACAACTGGTTCCCTTGTGAAGAATTATACATTTAAATCAGTTGCAAATACACTTCTCAGGTGGTGCCTGTTTTCGCCAAGCCAGAACTAGCAGATTTCCACCATTTCCCCTGCTATTTGCCAATGTATTCAAGAATGTGAATTGCTTAAAATCGTCGTGTACTTATTGACTAGCAATTATATATACATGATAATCCTGTTGTCCTGCTTTTTTTTGGTGTTTGATAGCCATCTTGTTGTCAACTTGCATTACTGAATGACCACTTGACTCGTGACTAGTGACCACTACTGGCCATCAGGATACTGTTTTATCAAGTAAGCTCAACTAGAGAGAGGGGGCAATGCTGCTTGTTTGTCCACCTAATGATAACTCTCGGCCATTTTAACGTGCTAACTCATCACAATAATTCTAAATAACTATTGCGGAACATGGATTCCAACAATGGATACCTACTCGGCATGGTCCGTTTGTCAAACAGATGCTGCAGACACTCGTTCGACAGCGAGCTACCAGCGCTACAATAAGGAGTGCTCATCTTTTGAACATGAATCCAGTTCTTACAACTCAATTTTCCTTCACAGATAAGCCTTGAGGAATTCCGCACCATTGTGTCCCGATGCAACATGTTGCAAGAGCCAGGGGAGTGATGATGACTGGGCAAACAGCTCTGCAAAACCTTACTGTTAAGACGGAATGGATTGGAAGGTGAAACTGGGCGCCGCTCGCTGGAGCCTGGACGCTTGAGTCAATCAAAGTCCCAGGACTGAGCAGAACCTTTGTTCACAGGAGCTGCATATCAAGGTCCTAGTAGGGTAGATGCCCAAGCTTGTAGGAGTAGCTGTTTCATCTGGGATTAATTGTTCATGTACGTTGTTGAGTCGTACTACGGGACCACTGTTGCTGTTCTAATAGGAATCACCAATTGGCCGTGCTCTTATTTACTACCACAAGTGGTGCATGGACATCGAATTAAGCACGAATCCAGCCTCGTACGACATCCAAAAATTCAGGATGAAGTACATGCATAATCAACCGAGCACTGCTCTGCTCGCTTGCCGAGTAAAACATCCAAAGAGGAATACATTTACACTATCCACTGCATGAATTTGGGCCAAACTTGAGAAATTTCCGCTCCAAGTCGTTAGTTTACTTCAAATATACCACGAGGCAATCAACACTAGATAGGCGAAAGTCATTTTTAACAATTATACCAAGTTATACTAGTGCCCAACCTAACAGTAGCCATATATGACAAACAACCATAAGGTTAATCGTGACGACTACTCGACCGGGTATGATGGTCAACCCAGTCTGACGCTTGCGACTACAGGCGACATCATACCCTAAGATATTGTGCTGTTAAGTAGTAGTGCCGCACATGTAAATGAGCGCATCAGAATGGAGATGACAACACTGCTCCATTTTGATGAGGACAGGAGCCTAACAAGACGCAGGCACAGGGATCCTCTATCTTTTCATGAGATAGCCCAGCAGAATTCCCAGCACCTAACAAGACGCAGGCACAGGGATCCTCTATCTTTTCATGAGATAGCCCAGCAGAATTCCCAGCAGAGCAACGGCAACCACAAACACCAACGGGAAACCACCATTGCCATTCTGCTTGCTGATCTCCCTTCTCACAAGGTCCTGTCGAAATTCAACGCAAGATGTTTAGTTACAACTATGTTAGGCTTCAAGCAATCTAACAAGTTTGGTACTCCCTCCATTCCACAATGTAGTGCTTCCTCTATCCACGTGTTTCAACTCTGACCGTAAATTTAACTACCAAGACCGATTGCGGCGGGAGCAAAAATTATATCAGTGAATTCGTATTCGAAAGAAATTTTCAATTATATATTTTTTTCTCCCGCCGCAGTTGATCTCGTTGGTTAAATTTATGGTCAAAGTTGGACCTCGGGAAGCGCGGGCGCACTATATTTTGGAATGGAGGGAGTATTATAGTTTATGGATGCAATAGGCTGTGGGCCTAAGATATGCCCAAGTTAAATGAAAAGATAAGCAATAGCGCAACCGCTATAATGACAATTTTTCTCAAGCCTTAAACACCAGGGAAGAATGCTAATACTACAAGCAAAATACAAAACATGCCACAAAAATGTTCATCAAGATCCGAGTCCACTAACCAGTTCCTCACGAAGCTTGTTGTTCTGCTGAATAGCAGAGTTTCTCTCTTCAGTTAATCTTGAAATCAACGGGGACGTCTATACAATTCATGAGATATTATTGGTGTCGGTACAAGGCAAGTAAAAGATACTTATAACAAAAGGTGTACGAAAAACTGAACAATGTTGCGTGGTGAGCAGAGCACAAAGTCTGCTGTCCTCCATTTATTGACTCATAGTGCAGGGCTGGACGCATAATGCAGGTAATTGACCGTACCAATATACATACAAAAGTTTACACGATGTACTACCAAAGCATGTGCATTTGCTGCACCTAATAAAGAATCTAGTTGCTATAATAAAGCCAACTGGCAGATTTGGGTGTATCATTATGTGGAATTAGCTACAACTGCAACTCCACAGCGAGAGAAATTAGCAAAGGCCAACAACTAAAGATGATAAACTGAATACAGGTTGATTAACTGGGTATCTTGTTATAAGTTAGAGCTTGACCAATATCCACTGATCTCTGAGATGAAACATAACAGACCAGTTTCAAGTTAGAGCTTGACCGACGTACATACATGTTCTCAGTAGTATGATAACAAATGCATATTGCAGCATGCATCAGTCAACACAGAAACACCTAATTTCAAGTTTAGCAAGTTCATCATAGTGATGACGGCGCAAATGACTGTCTATGTCTTACACCCATATCTATTATCACAAAGGTGAGGTGAACTTAATAAAGCTCACTAGTGGCTTAAACATGTATCATTACATTACAGTATAAATTCAAAATACTTGAATTAGTTTGAGGCTTAAAGATCTAGTATTCTGGTCATCATTTATTGACTATTTCAGTGTTAAGTTGAGTGTTGCTCAAAGTCTAATGGTGTTAACAAGTACAACAGCATCTTGAACACAAATTTGTTGTTTGAATAATTCTTATGTGCTAAGCAAAAAGGTGTCAGCTCACTGAATATCTCATTTACAAAGCATGGCACTTGTGATACCATTCTTCCAAATGATATGACTATGCGATTAAGGCGCATTGATAATCGAGAAAAGTGCAAGTCATATATGTCTATGGTACTTGAATTTTACTTCTCAGGGATTCAATGCAAGGTTTGATCTGGCCAAACCCTATTAGTTTTAAACAATTACAGATAAGTATGCCCTGAAGTTATACAAAATCAATTTCTGCTTTCCATACTTCTACAAGAAAATCCATGCAGACTTAAATAGTTGTTCGACGGAGCTGACCTCAGTGGTTATCTCAGATGGTTCCTTGTGCGCCTGAAACCAGCAACAGCTCGGTTTAACATGGTTGCAAACAAGAGCAGATCAGGAAAGCAGCAGATGAAGTTAAGGTACTAACTGAGGACAATGGAGGCTCATCAGATTCCCTTGTTGCCTGCATCTAGAAAACAATCGACTACATCTCAAGCATTTAAGAACAAAACTCGAAATGAAAGAAACAGCATAGAGTTAAGAGATCTCACATCTTGATAATTTATGTTTGCCCCATCTGACCATGAAGGCCGAGGCGACGAACCCTCTTCAGATCCCTCCCGCACAGGCGATGGTGGTCGGGGTGGTTGCACGTAGACAACCTTGAGCCTCACCTCATCCACCACATTACCTGATTCCTTTTTAAACTACACAAGGTTCACTTGTTAGCACTGTTGAAGCAAACATCCCACAACATAACTGAACCAGCGTAGAGACATTAGAATGTGAAGTACCATCTCTCCAGTGATATCCTTGACTGCAGTTCCCTCCGTCACCACAGCGCTCTGCACGAGAAACTTGTCCTTGCACTGCATGTCGGGCGGCGCCTGCTTCAGCGCCTGCATTGTCACTGAGAAACCAGAGAGACAGTCAGTTTTTTGCGGAGATACTATAACAAAGCATCCTGATGGCTTTGGTGGGAGGTGCATGGGAGTTGGCACTACCGACGACGCTGCTGGTGGACCGCGGCGGCACAATGCCGCTGTTGGGCCGGACGCAGTACTTCTTGGGACTCGTCGTCTTGACCTAAGAGGCGCAACATTTCACCAAATGCGGCATCACATTCAGACACTTTTGCACACAAATTGCAGAGCTGCGCGCTGCGACGAAGGCTGAGAACACTTGGTGGAAAACGACGAGATGGTAATTCCGATTACCTTGAAGGCGAGGTAGTCGTCCGTCTTGTTGGTGAGCTCCATGGAGCACGAGATCTGCTTCATGAACTCGACTGCGCGATCCAGAAAAAAAAGAAAAACAAGAGAGGGAACAAAATTTAGCACAAACAGTACAACAAGCCTACGAGTCCGGCGGATTCCCTCCACGCTCTAAATAAGTAAAAAAATTGCACAGGAATGTTTGACTTAAAAAACGCCGCGGCGGTTCAAACCGAGGACCGCGCCGACATCACTCCGAAAATTCCGTGAGAACAGCAACAGCAGCGGCATGTGCCCCGGAACAGCTAAATACAGTACAAAGGGGGAGGAGGGGCCGTACAGGGGAAGCGGAGCTCGAGGGGCTCGATCCCGAGCAGCTCCTTGGAGTCGGAGCCCATCCCGCGGCGCGAATTCGGCGCCCGAGCTCGGCGCGGGTTCGGTCCGGCGCGGGGGGGCGACGACGGGGGAGGGGGGAGCTAGGGTTTGGGGGAGTGTGTGCCTCGGGGGGCGAGAGGAGTGGAGGAATCGGAAGGGAATTTGGTTGGAGACTTGAGTCGCGGAAGGGAGCAGGAGTGGGGAGGTGGTGGTCTTTTGTTGGGAGACTTGAGCACGAGGTGGGTGGGCTAAACAAGAGAGAGGGTAGGCTGACTGACCCAAATGCGGCAGCGGTTGCGGCTGATGCGCCTTTAACCTCTGTGTGGTTTCCTCTTTCTGCAAAAGGGCAAGGCCGCGGTAGGTGAAGTGAATTTTTCTGCTGATTGATGACGGTTGAGATATCGCATCGCTTTTCTTAGGCGGAGAATTCGGGAATTTCTCTAAGTAAAGGTGTGCACCTTTCTAGTACTCCGTATGTGCCACTTGACCTCGCTAGTCACCTTCTCACCTCACTAGTATGTGCCACTTGACCTCGCTAGTCACCTTCTCACCTCATGATGAAATTTGCGGCAAAATCATCTACTAGTATCAAGAGCATCTACTAGTAGGACGCAAAAACACTGATGTGTCTCTATTTGCTGCCTAAAAAGATTTGAAACAACCCTAAATTTCCCCCTCAAGTGCTGCATTTTGCAGCATCTCTACCCGCTACCGCAAAAACCAAACACGACGTCACGGCCGCACACGACCACCGAGCTGAAGTTTCCCTGCCAGCCGACCCATGGCCACCCCACACCGGTTATGGTTGGATCTCACTGTCACCCACCATCCGCGGCGAGTCCGTCATGCTCCTCGACACAGTCGCCCATTCCCGTCGCTCCGGATGTCCACCACCACCATAGCAGCCGCCGTCAATTGTGGTTCCACCGCTGCCCAATTTGCAGCAAATCTGATTGTTCCCTGCCCCCCCTCCCCCTCTCCGTCGTCCGAAATGGCCGCCGCAACACCGGGGCTTGCCCTATAGGCCGGTATCCCACGTGGTCGCCGCAACCATTGTCGAGTTGTTGCTCCTTTAGAGCTCTTGGCTATCGGCGGGCACAACCGTGGAGGCTCTGACCCGGCGGTAGCAAGAACATGTTCAGTCCATTCCTAGCTAGCTCGGCGACCCCGCATCAGACACGGCGAGCTACGCCGGCCGGAATTCACCTTTGTGCCTGATAGGTGTTTGACAGAAAGCATCCAAGGTAAAAAACATTTTTTGTTTTTTGTGGCGATATAAGAGTGGATTTGATGCAAATATTGTGTAAATGTAGATAAATTTGTTTGAATCGTCTTTGTGGGATCATTCCTCCTCCGGAGAGGAATACGAGTGGGACAAAGACGAGGACATTGATTTGATCATGATGCTGCACATGAAGAAGACAAGTGGTTGAAGCATGATGGTTCTGTTGTCGGTCGTGAGGTGATTCGTTAGGAGGAAGCAATATGGGCATCATAGATTGATGGTCGTTATTTTGGTCCGAATCTAGCATATCCAGAGCGATACTTTCCACGTCGGTTCAGAATGGCTCTGGATTTGTTCCTCCACATCATCAATTGTGTGAAGCAGCATGATCGATTCTTCAAGCAAAGGAGGAATTGTGTCGGAGATTTTGGACATGGCACTGTCCAGAAGGTGACTAAGGCATTGCGCACGATGACATATGTTATTCCTGCAAATTTGGTTGATGATCCCTTGGCAATGGGAGAAAGCACTTTCCATCAAGTGTGTGAAGCAATTTGCAAAGTGGTTGAATATTTTGGGCCAGAGTATTTGAGAGCACCCAGTGCTCTGGACAGTCAAAGACTTTGGAGATGAAACAAGGACGCGGGTTTCTAGATATGCTCAGCTCAATTGATTGCATGCAATGTATGTGAAAGAACTGCATTGCAACATGGCATGGACAGTTCAAATGACGTGTGAAGGATGCCACCGTCATTCTTCAAGTCGTGGCCAATCAAGAGATATGGTTTTGGCATGCATATTTCAAGATGCCTAGATTTTACAGCACCGTTAATGTGCTCCAGCGATCACCACTCTTTGCGCGGTTGGCTAATTGGAAATCACCTCCGGTGGAGTTTCGAGAAAATGGTCGCACATACAACATGGGATACTACCTAGCGGATGGGATATATCCAAAGGGTGCAACCTTTGCAAAAATTTATTTAAGCCCCCAAAGTAAGAAAAAAATTCAATTCCATAATGCTCAAGCAGCTGCTAGGAAACATGTGGATATGTCATTTGAAATTTTGCAAGTCCAATTTGTGGAGGACCAGTTGGATCTTGGGATCAATAAATCCTTTGGTACATCACTAGGAGGATGTGGCCATGCACAACATGGCAATTGAGCATGAGCATGTGAAACAATTGGATTACTCCTTCTATGAATTGATGGGGAAGCCGGTGCAACCACGTAGAAAGAAAGACCGCATCTGACAATTTCTTCAAGTTCACTATGACATTCAAGATACAGATACTCTCAAAGATCTTAAAGGAGATCTCATTTAGGCGTGATAGACGTGGAATGGGAACACGACCACTAATTCTACCTCTATGTGTTCATGTCATGTGTGTTGAACTGTATGTGATGTTTGATGAACAAGTGTGTTGAATTTGAACTTGTGTATTGATGAACTATGTAGTGATTAAGTACTAATTGTGTTCTATTTGTTGTGGATTAATTTGGCATGTGTTTGATATTACTTGCTTTGGACTTATTATGTTGAGCATGCTCAAAATGTTTGGTAGTTGAATAAAGCCAAATTTGCAGGGCGCCGGTTTTGCATCATCTGTTACAGTAGAATTTTTCGGATGCCAAATAACCTTCTCTCTTCTGCCATAAAACCATTCAATTTTTTTTAAACACAACACAAATGCAGATCCTTAAAATCATTCCCACCAACTTTTACATCATCTGCCCAAGATGCTCTAGCATTTGCAATGGCAGATTGTCTGTTAGACACGTAAAAAGTGTCTTGAACTCCACATAGGTCCGGATCTACATTTCAAAAATAGTTAAATATGCAACTTCAATTGCATTTCTGAATTTTATTTTTCTGCGGTGAATTTCTAATATCTTAGTTGTGCGGTGCCTACACAATCGAACCCAGACGCACGACACACGCCAGCAGCGTTGAATCAACTCATTAGGTCGCAAGCCGCGTCGCTTGGCTTGTCGTGTGCTTGACAAGCCTAGATTTTCGCTGATTCCTTTTGACATTTGGACAGCTGCTCTCTGAACTTCAACAGAGTAGGCGAACCGTACGCATCTCACAACACAGGGTTAGGTCGGGTGCTTTGCAACTTTGCGTGATATGTGCTGCTTGATCTGGATCAAGAGGACTATCTGAGAAAGACATAACTTGTTTTTTCTTCGCTTGGTTGCCATCACAAATGACACACCCAACCAGTTGAGATTTCTTTAATATCCTGCACACGAATGTCGGCCTAGTTCTTTTGGCCGATTCCGTCGGAATCTTGAGAATCAAACCTCCTCCAGATTCTCCCACAATCCTGAACCCACCAAAAGAACTCACCTGGCAGTGCACAACATGTGAATGAAGGAAGGATACCATATCCTTCTCACATGGCAACAAGCCTCCGTGAGGCGCAGATCTTCCGAGGAAATGGAGCAACACCCACACTGGCAACAGCTTGTATATATATCTTCTATATTCAAGTAAAGTATTTCTTACACACTCATACCAAGTTCAGCATCAAGGCAATGTACAATTTTCACTTTATCTGTATACCAAAGCAGTTGCACGATTCAAAGTTTCTATCAGTCAAAACCCTTTTTTATTCTACGTCCACTACGTCTGGCAAATACAGATGCACCAGAACTAACATGTCACCCATTCTATCGTGCAGTGAGCAGCAGAAGCACAGCAGCTTGAAGAAACCTACCTGTTCACATCATCGCTCGATCCGTAGCTCGGATCGCTCGCGGAACTGACCCCAGCAAACCAGGCAACGCGCATCAACTGAATCCCAAGGACCAGCACCCACCAGGTCACCAAGCCACGAAGGCTCTGCACCATCCACCCCGGCGCAGCGATCTCGCTGGCCAGCTGCAGGCCCCTCATCAGCTGTAGCACCCGGTAGCCCTCATAAACGACGGGGGCCACCAACCAGACCGGCGATCTCCAGTGCCATGTAAGCGTCTCAGTCAGCATCTGCACCGAAAGGAGTAACAGGTATGGCCCAAGCAGCACCAAGAACGGAATGAATGGCAGATGTGGCTGCAGAGCTCCCCGATGAGACGCAAAAAGCAGGGCAAAAGGAGCAACAAAGCCTAATATGCTGGCAACCAGATTCCAAGACCTGTAAGTAGTTGGGATCTGCCTTGTCAGGTCGAACGAATTGTTCTCTGGACGCCCGCACGCGTCGGCCATAAGGAAAAACAGCATTGCTCCCATGTTAAAGATGCAGTCGAGTCCCACTAGGGATAGAAGGCCCGCGATGTTAGGGCCAAGGAACACTGAAGGCAATGGCAGCCACAAAGTTGGAACTATACCGGTAACCAACAGAACTGAAGGCCCTAACAGCCACATTGGCAGCTTAAATGTTGCTGGCTGCTTAGAAGGTTCATTCCTCACGTCCACAACATCCTGGTCACTCTGGAGGATTGGAATCTCTGGAGCTTCTTCTGTATCAATAGCTTCGACAACATTTGTTCCCATGATAATGCTGGCATCGTCCTCTGTGGAGGCATATGGTAGAGAGGCCTCCCAAGGCAAATTCTTAGTGCAACGCAATGCAATGTTCTTAAAATGGCCTGACTGCAAGGGGCTCCAATGAAGAGACTTAGGCAATCTCGTAAGTCTATTCTCATGAACCTGCCTCCTAACATATGCTCTGTTTAGTTTTATCTGTGAACAGAGCAAAGAAGCCATGGTACAGGATGCCAAATTCCAACGCTGCAAAGAATTAAAGTGAAACAAATTAGTGCCTCCAATGTATGGACCGTGGCGAGGTATCTAGCAATTAAGATAAACTCAAACACAGGCTAACAATGAAATGCAATACAGCTTGATGTCAGGTTGACAACAGTAAAACAAACTCAACACTTAGATCTAGTAGTTAGCTTAGACGCTTGCCCTTTATGTCTTGGCATGTCACTCAACCATTTTTAATAGATGGTACTGAACCAAAGATTATCAGTCCATGTTATGAAAGGAGAGCGTACAAGAAAAGGTAATGTCACAACGACTAATTGCAGTATCCACAGGCAGATCAAATATTCAATGAAATCCATGATTGCAGTTACTGTTTTTAGATACTTCTTATTCAACAGATTTTTGAGTAAAGAACTCCAGCTTCAGCACTTCTTGTTGTTTTAGCTTGCAAAAACGTCTTATATCATGGGATGGCGGGAGTAATAGTTAACTTGTAACTGGAAGCATACTTTTGACTTCCGAGACAGGAAACATGGTAAAACATAGGACCAAAAAATGGAACTCGACTGCACCTCATTAAAGACAAGTTACTACCAAACCTAAAGTTTAACAAGGTACAAGACGGAAGCCAAAAGATAAATACCTAAGCACTTAGGAATAAACTTAAAAATTGCAAGAATTATCTAGCACACGTGAGATTTTAACATGTTGTAAATACAGCAAAAATTACAGAGTATGTATGAGCTATAAAACCAGACATACAAAGTCCCCCGCTTAAATTGCATAAGATTCAAGACAGCGGTAACTATTTAGGCCTGAATCCAATGATCCAGGAGATATAAAGATGCTACTTTACACAGACCTAAACTGCTAGTTCTTCTCCCCAGCGGACACAATCTGTCGGAAAGGTTACTGGGGTTCCCAAGCTATTCACCACATCTGTGCAGCAACGGTACTAAACAACACCAGAAACTTAAGGATAACCTGTACTTTGAGTGTGTGTCATTTTGCATAACTACGAACAAGCTCTGTATTAACAGAAACAAAATCCCCATATCTGTTGACTACACAGTATGTGCATCTAGCTATGCCTGATGGCAAAACCTACACCTTTAAAACATGCGCTAGTACTCGACAGCTCGACGCTTTGATCCTTCAGCGACCGAACCCCACAAATCACAAGGGCATACAGCTATGAAGTAACCACCCCCACCCCCCGCCCCCGCGTTTCCTTTCTCAAAACTTAGTGCTGAACGCAGGCGTCGGAGACACCGAGAGCGCTTCTAAACATTCCCAAAGCCTCGAATCTGGTCAGATCCGCAGATTTCGCCCGAGCGCTGCTACCTTGCTGGGACCTGCTGTTCGGGGCTAGTTCTTATAGGTAACGTGATGGACGGAAGAAAGGGGACGGCTAACCTGATTGGATTTCCCTCGGCGCTCCCTTCTCGCCGGCCGGAGCTCCTCCGAGGTGAGGAAGCCTCCGAGCAGTTCTTCTCCCCAGAGGCGGACGCACGGCTTGAGCGGTGTGGAAGGGGCAACCCGGCCCAATACGCAACAATAAGCACGGTGGGCCGAAGTATGGAAATGAGAGTGCCGTTTTGGCTCTGGGTCATCGGCGGTGGTTTACCACGGGGTTTTTGGTCCGACGATCTTGGAAACTTACGCATGCAGGGAGGCGTTGGCACTTGCTAGATATCTTCAGCATCGGATTGCCAAGGAGTGATGAACGGCATAAACCAAGGGACAGGAAGACCGCACTCAGCTATCATCCAGAAAATTTTGGAACGTAGAAACAACTTCAATTCTGTTTCTTTTGTTCATGAGCGTAGAAACTTTAATTTCAAGGCTCACAATCTTGTCAAACATGTTTGTAATCTTCAGTCAGGTAGACATGTATGGTTGGTCAATCCTTATGACCAACGTATTGTACCCATGAACATTCATGTTAATCAATAAAGTGGCGAGATTACTCAAAAAAAATCTGCTCCTGGATGAACAGTAAATTCAAAATAAATAGACTAAAACCCCTAAAAGACTAAAAGGTAAATTCAAAATAAAATCTCTCAAAAATTTAAAATTCAAAATAAATAGTAAAAAAATACTTATTTTTTGTGTGGATGTTCATGTTACTCTAATAAGCATGCTTGAAATTTTTCATGCAAAACGGGATAGGAGTGCTTTGTCGATGGAAAAAAAAGTTCAATGTAATATTTGGAGGTAACATTTTGAGTTTGATTTGTTTTTTCTCACAGGTCAAAATGCTTAAGATTTTTCACTGAAAAATTTCAGGTAGCATTAGGATGTGATAGTGAACACATCTCTTTTTTTTCGTTTGCAAAAAACATTTTTCGCAGACCAAAGTATATGCTCCCAAGAGAAAAATTGGAATTCTCGTGCTTTGGCCCTTCTTTTGTGTGTTATAATAGTGTCCGAACGGAGGAGCCATGTGAAATCTTGGTCTCTCAGGGATGCGGTTAGTATGAGCTCGAGCTCATGTGAGCTTGGGTAAACAATAAGTGAATAAAACTTAAAAAAAACTGGTTTTTTAGCAAACATTGACAAATGTTTTGATTCCTTGTAAAGTTCTATAATGGAACGACAATTGTAGAAGACTTGGCAAAAAATGATTTTTTTGGAGCATCGATCTTATTGTCCATCAATTTTGGAGCAACATGAAAAACATTTTGAAGCATCAATTTTGTGGTGGGCTGGTTCCACCACAAAGAAGCTAACCATGTAAACTACGCTTAGTTCATTATGGGAATAGGTTGGGAAATATTTTTTTGTAGGTGGGCTTAGTAGCCTAGAATCTAATAAAAGAAGTTGAATGTTGTTTGTGAGAACAAAGGAAATGCTCGTTTGTGAGGATAACTGATTGGTTCACTGTTTTTCTTGGAGAGAAATGGGTTTACCTTCAATTTCAAGAAGATATTTATAGTTGTAACAGTGAACCCTACAAATATTGAAGTACTACCAATGAACCCAAGGAATATCAGGCCACTGAAGAAGTTTACAAGCAAATTTCATAAGTAGGTTGTTGTTTTGGATAATCATTTTTTTATACCTAGACTATCAATTTGACCCGGTGCAAGTTTACTCGCTCATCCATTTGGATAAACAAATTTTATAAGCAAGAAAATTTTCAGGTTTGTAAACATTTTTCTAAATGATAAGACATTTTGACCCGGTACAAGTTTTCTCGTTCGTCCAGAAAAAGGTGGGGCGAATGACATCAAGGAGGTTCGATGTACCTTTGTAGTTAGTGTGTTTTTCCATTTAATCAATATAATGTATAGGTCGCTAAAAGGCCAATATTTATAGGGGCATGCTAGGGGTTAGTAGACTGGATTTTATTTTGGTCAGTCGATCCGTCCCAACCGTTGGATGTAAAGAAACGGTGAGATCTCCCTCTAACTCCTGAAAAGTATCGTTCATCGTATTTCCCATGATCTCGATTTGAACCGCCCACGATCGCCGGCCGAACCGACTGCCTCTGTCGCCCGTGACCGCCTGGCCGCCTCGCCCTCCCCCACTGTCATGCTTTTCGTCGCCCTCGACCATCTCTCTAAATCGGCCAACCATCTGAATTTTCCGACGAGCCTGCACCCCCATCCCGAACCATCAATCTTCGGACTCGCCTCCACCGGCCGCCGCCAATGTCCAACGGCCGGCTTCCTTCTCCACCGAATCAAATGGCCCAACTTCGAAATCCATGCCACTAATATCCAGCAAATCTGATATTAATATTTTCGATACCAATGCTACCGTCGGAAGGCAAAATATGCTACGCTGGTGGCCGACGGAATAAAGATAAAGCAGAACCTAGCCACAAAAATGCATAAAGAAAAAGTAAAGTAATGAACCGATCAAGCAAGCAAACAAAAATGTTTGTTTCCTCCTCGCCCTCTCAATCCATCCTCGATCGCCACCTCCAGAAAATCACTCACCCATGGCGCAGACGACAAACGCATCCCAGCCAAGTGCCCGCCACGGCCCTTTATCCCCACCCAGCCACACACATCTACCCATCGCGTCCATTTCCCACACTCCACCTTCCATGCACACGCGCGCGCGCCTCCCCTGACCCCGCAGAGCTCCCCAACCCAACCCAACCCAACCCAACCAGACCGATCGACCGGCCGCCATGAGCGGCGGCGGCGCCGGCGACACGCTGGACAAGCTGGTGGTGTTCCTGGCGAAGCGCGACGGCGTGGACAAGCTGGTGAAGACGTACCAGTACGTGTCCAAGCTGGCGCACTGGGCGGCGGAGACGTCGCACCCGGGGCTGGCCGGGCGCGCCAAGAGCTGGGAGACGGCGGCCGGGCTGAGCCGCAAGGTGTTCCGGTCAGGCCGCTCCCTGACGGGCTTCAACGCGCTGCGGCGGTCCCCGGGGGAGTTCGGCGCGCTGGCGGTGCTGGCCAACGCCGGCGAGATGGTCTACTTCTTCTTCGACCACTTCACGTGGCTGTCCCGCGTGGGCGTGCTGGAGCCCTGGCTGGCGCGCCGCGCGAGCTTCGTGTCGGCCTTCGGCGAGTGCGTCGGCTACGTCTTCTTCATCGCCATGGACTTCATCGTGATCAGGCGCGGGATCAGGCGGGAGAGGGCGCTGCTGCGCGGGGAAGGCGGTGGCGAGGGGAAGGAGAAGGAGGGCGAGGTGAGGATGATCCGGGCGGACCGGGTGATGCGGCTGATGGGGACGGCGGCGAACCTGGCGGACCTGGTCATCGGCGTCGCGGACATCGAGCCCAACCCGTTCTGCAACCACGCCGTCACGCTGGGGGTCAGCGGCCTCGTCTCCGCCTGGGCTGGCTGGTACAGGAACTGGCCGTCGTGAGGTCGGATCGGATAGGCGTTCCGACCGGCAAGATGTATGTAAAGAATGTACGCTTACCGCGGTAATTATTTTCTCCTATTACGAGACTGTTATATGGCAGAGTTCTGGCAGCACACTTCCAACCTCCTTCAGCATAGACTACCATAACAGTCTTACATAGCCTGCTGAATGCTGACCCAAAGCAAATGGGGAAGAAGGTGCGAGCTCAAGTTACTTAGAGCACCTAATCTACGGGTGCAACGCCCAGTCAATAATTACTTACTTTTGGATTCTTTTCGAGATAGGTTACCACATCCTGTATCACATATGCCATGAGGTCAATAATTACTTCGGCGGATAGTGTTTCGCCAAACATCAGCTAGTTAGCGGTGACCAAGCCGAATCACCCGAAATGCCGAGGGCGCCGTCACTGCTAGGCCGGGGCAGGGCTCAGCTGGTGAGCGCCGAGAGCACGCCGCCACCGCTCTTGGAGGCCATCACGACCTCCCAGCCAGGCCCTTTCAGGGGGATAAGAGGGGTGGCATCGGCGGCGGCAGGCGGGCCGGTGAGGTCGCTCCGGTCCATCACCTTCAGAAGGTCCTCGTCGCTGATGTCGGTCTGGATCATCCTGTCTTCCTCGTCCTGCTCGTCCCTCAGCAGCGCAAGCAGCTCCTCCTCCTGTATTTATCAACAACGTAGCAGAACAAATCAGTGATCATTCCCAGTTGCTTTGCTTCTGTTTTTCTACTTTTAGTGTTTCCTTTCCGAATAAACAATTTACGCAGTAGACTAAAACACAATCTACACTCGAGGCGAAAATCTTTACATCTAAGACGTTAGGCTTCGCGCTATTCTGTTCAAACTGTCCCTTCCCAATCACAACGTGCTCCAGCTTCAGCTTTCCAAAAGCTCTCTTGATAATACGTCCCTGCGACAATAAGGAGGTGAGGAGCGATGCCACGGAATATAGCCTAGCAAGAGTCTGAAGGTCGTCCATCCATACCTCAACAGAGTTGGCTGTTGCCAACCGATAAACATGCAATGGGCGTGTTTGACCAATCCGGTGGCATCGATCCATGGCCTGCAAATCCATCTGAGGATTCTGCAGAATGAAGCAAATCTTCAGCGTATCACAGCTATGAAAGATAACTGAAAGGCAGGCATTTTCAGTTTTTCACCAAGGAGCACAGCTACAAACAAAACATCCCATACGAAAAAAAAATGAATATCCAAACAGGGAGATGGCATGTGCAGGGAGAGTGTAAACTTTAACGACTGTTACTTTTGTATGCATGCCTATATCGAATATTACACTACAAACTCTCGAGATAGATAGGAAATTACCCAGTCACTGTCATACAGGATACATGTATCAGCAGAAGCAAGATTGATGCCAAGCCCACCAGCACGTGTGCTTAGAATAAAGACATTCATACTGCTGTTCAAGTCATTAAACTCTGCTATCTGCCACAGAAAAAACAGTACCAAATAAAACCCATAGAAAGCCATTAAATCATCAAACAGAGAAATATTGGCATGTAACAATAAAATCAATATAAAGAACATTTGTGGGTTAGAATACTGGTTCTTCAATAACAAACAGTCATGTGCATTCAAGCCCAGGGTCCATAAACCATTGAACCGTCAGTTTGCTGTCCCCGACAGTTTGAGACCTAACCAGTTTGTAGTGGGATATTCAACTCCATCCAGTTTTGGTAATGATTAGCTGCCGATTAAGTGAGTCTTTTTCCCTCTAAATGAGATAGTTAATCCATGTATTTTTAACATGTTCGATTCTAGCTGATTTTGCCCTATTTACAGTTCTCTAAATAAATTCAGGCACCATGCAGATGCAGGCTCAATGGTCGTGAGCCTACTCGGGTGAGTGTGTTTTTCAATCATGTCCAAGCTAACACATTTGCTGAATCGGATTGGAGAAGGATGTGCAACTTCATCCAGTCCGTAGCAATTAGCTGCCAATTCAGTCGGAGCTTTTTCCTTTCAGCGAGATAACTAATTCACGTTGTAACAAGTTATGCCCAATTTACAGGAAGAAAACTCAGGAACCAGCCAAGCAAAATGACAGTACCTGGGAACCAACTCAGATGTATGTTTTGGAATCGTGTTTAAGCTACCACACATTTGCTAAACATGTATGTTAAACTAATATGCTGGTTGGATATGAGAATCCCCTGCTGTGGGATGTTAAATTACAACATTCAGGTGTTCTAAGATTGTAAAATTTAACATGTATAGCTCAGAATGCTCGTATAAAATAATAACTGAACATGTGTTATTGAGCTCGATGCTAAATTGCTCATGTGCTCACTTAGGAAATTAAGGTATGTGCATATGCACATACATTAATACAGAAGTGCAATTCTTCAAGATGTAGATGCTATCTAGTAAACTGGTAAGAAATCGGCAGACTACCACATTACCTGTCTCATCCTGTCTTCCAATTTAACACTACCATCAATTCGGCAAATATTCAGGCCTTTCATATACAAATAATATTCAATTATATCCAAAACTTTTGTCCACTGTGAAAATATTAGAACCTACAAACATATCAATTGAATTAGGATATAATTCATGAAAAATGTGCTAGCATGTGCATGAATGCAGAGTAAAGCTAAGGTACAAAGAAATGTAAAGGAGAACCATAAACCTTGTGCTTTTGTTTGAGTAGGGATTCCAGTAACCTGTCCAACAGCTGAAATTTACCACATTGTTCCAGAAGCTTATCGGTAGGTGGATAAAGGCCTGCAGACAAACAAATGAACAACAATGTACAAAAAATTAGCAAACAGAACCATAGAGGGCAACACAAATAGAACATGTTCAATAGGATTATGGGACGCACTTGTTGAGTCAAATGCAGCATTGAAAAGATCAGGATGGGCACAGTTCTTCCTCAGCTGAATCATTAGGTTATTTAGCTTCATCTTCAGGCCAGGTCTCCGCAACAATGCAATATAGGAAAAGCTTGTCATATAAGAATTAATTGTTTACTTATACACAGATTGGACCGTGAATGTGCAGGAAAAGATGCACGAGCTTACATATGCATACCTATGTCTGTGCTCTCAAGCAAGTAGTTGTCAAATGTTTTTTCAATCAAGTGAGTCTGGATTTGCTTCTGATGTGCAGTCATGTTAGCATAAATGATTATCTCTTTCTTCCGTGGAAGCATCTGCTCCACATCCATCTTCATCCGTCTTAAAAGGAATGGACACAAAATGGCATGAAGCTTTGAAATAACAAGAACTCTTTTCTTCTCATCAGCTTCTTCCTGCTGCTCCTCGTCTCCTTTCCCAGAAAAATCAAACCTTTAAAAAGATTTTTGTCAGACGAATGGAGGCAAAATAAACCAAATATATTCATTGAATGTTTAAATAGTACTCCTTGACACGAATTATGGAATGGAGGAACTCCACTATCTTTATAACAAAAACTCCCAATGTGAAGGTATTAAAATCCATCTACTTACTTCCAATATTACTTATTCATAGCATGCATTTCAGTAAACAATAACATAACAAGTTTAACAACAGACAACATAATGAATAAGAAAAGGTACAACATAAAGTTCTGCTAATATTTATTAAATTGGCAGACATGGCATATCAGTACACAACATATACTGGGAAGAGGAAATGTTATAACATAAGCGGCTAACAAACAGGGAGGTGGCTACTCTGGCGCATGTGGACATCTACCATAAAGTCCTGGCAGTGCCCCCTGTGGCAAATAGTAGTTCCCCATTTTGGGAGTCTGTCAATGTGGGTTGTAATTGTTCTGCCATGTACCCATACAACAGGGTATCGTTGTAACTAGCTATTTCTATATTATTATTGTTAATGCAGCGCCCCTGCCAGGTTAAAAAGGGCAGCCCGGTGCACGCAGCTCCCGCTTGCGCAGGGTCCGGGGAAGGGTCCGACCACTTTGGGTCTATAGTACGCAGCCTTTCCCTACATTTCTGCAAGAGGCTGTTTCCAGGACTCGAACCCGTGACCTAATGGTCACAAGGCAACAGCTTTACTGCTGCGCCAAGGCTCCCCTTCGCCCCTGTCAGGTTACTTGGAAAAAAAATATGTCTCTACAGTTGCATTGAATAGTGGAGTTGCTACAATCATACCAGATAATTTATGCTTGGGAACTGATGTTGCGACTGTTTAATATTTTTTCTTTTATACGATTCACAACTGATCAAATTTATTAGATTTGGTTGTATCGTTTAACCAAAATACACACTTAAATACCAAATGTCAATCACTTTATAGTAAATCCTGAAAAATGTTGGCTAAAAGAACAACATATATGTGCTATTGGATTCATACACATTCATATCAATACAACATCTAGGCATCCAGCCAATGGCAGAGCCAAACATTTTCAAAGCTAGACACTGCTACATTGGAATGTTCAGGTCACTTATAATTACTCATTACTACAATCAATACAGGAAAAAAAAAACCTAGGGGATAGCAACTGATGAACACAGGAACTGCTGCCAGGATATGGAGACTGCAACAAAATGACATATACAGAAATTACCCAAGGTTCCTGCTAAAAAAAAGTACCCAAGGCAAAGGGCAGCCAGTAGTGCATGTGTAAGCTCAGCGAATCATACCATGACTCAAATTCCTGATGGGACGAGAATATATCAGGCAAAATGAAATTCAACAATGACCACAACTCTGCCAGGTTATTCTGAAGAGGTGTCCCAGTCAAAAGGAGTTTATTGGCCATTGGTATGCGCTTTAACTTTCTCAATAATTTACATTTAGAATTTTTCAACCGATGTCCCTGCAAGAAGTACGGAGGCATGTTAATAAGGAATAGAAAAAGGGAGAGAACCATATATGGCTTCATCATGTAGAACTTTTTTTTCTCAATAGCATGTGTTTTTTCATCACCTCATCCACAACAACATATTTCCACTTATAACGAGCAAGATATTTTGCATCTGACATGGCCATCTCATATGAAGTAATTATTATCGGGAAATCAGGGCC